GTGTGTGTGTGTGTGTGTGTGTGTGTGTGTGTGTGTGTGTGTGTGTGTATCTATGCATGCACATGGGGAGGCCAGAGGTTGACATTGGGATGTCTTCCTCAATCACTTTTCACCTTATTTTTTGAGACAGGGTCTCTCACTGAACCTGAGCCCATCATTCCAGCTAGGCTTGCTGGCCAGTGAGCCTTCAGGACTCACCTGTCTCTACCCCCAAGTGCTAGGGTCACAGGCGTCTGGATTTCATATGGGTGCTGGGGAAATGAACTCAGATCCTCATGCTTGCTCAGAAAGGACTCTACCTGTGTGGGGCCCAAAACATCTTGACATGCTTAGGGGCCCAGACACAGCTGCCATGACAGACTAACTGGCAGGTACCCCCTGGGCCCCAGAAAAAGCCATAAGCTGACCCCACCCAGGGAGGGCTAGCATCCAAGGAGAAATACCTGACATTCCAAACATTCCCAGCACACACCTATACTTCTAGACAAATGTCAGCCAATCAGGGTTCTGAGCCCTGGAAATCCCCTCATCCCTAACCTCTGCTATGATAAAAACCCCACCCCACCTAGGCTGGGCATTCTCTGCTCTCACCAGTGCACTGGACAGAATGGAGAGTCCAAGCTCGAGCTTGAATAAAGGCTCTTTGCTTTTATATATGGGATTCAATCTCCATGGTGGTCTTTTGGGGGTCCCCACAATCTGGGCGTAACACTACCCACTGAGAAGTCTCCCCAGCTCCAAAATGTGGAATTTTGATAGGAAAGTAGAAAAAGTGGAAATTTTGTTTCTGAGTAAACATCTATGAGAAACTACAGTTCCTCTTCCTTATCATACAATTCCTCAATTTTCCAAATTCTGAGACTGTTTTCTCTCTCAGTGCTTTTTCTGTGGAAACTGTATGTTAATTGCAGCAATCCTAGTGGACAGTTTTTAAATTTCCTGCTCTGTCTTTGTCTTTTCTTTCCTTCCTTGCCTTTTTTTTTTTTTAGTTTATTTTTTTGAGAGTCCTACTTGGTACTCCAGGCCCCAGACTGGTCAAAACTCACTAACATAGACTGGCCTTGAACTTGAACAGTCTTCCTGCTTCAGCCTTTGGGGTGCTGAGATCAGAGGTGTGAGTCACCGGGCCTGGCCTCCCCATGAATAGTTAGAAATTAGGGAGGGAACAGCTTTTTATTGTATTGACGTTCTTAACTTCATTCTGAGTCAAACATCAGTGATAATCCCTGGGAACACGGGTCCCAGGTGTCCCGAATGACATGTTCTGTGATGGTAGTGGTTCCATTAGTGTTTGCTTGCCCTCCCTCACTCTCTGGCTCTGGAGTAATAGAAATGGAATCATGAGAGGCGAGATCACGTGCTGCACCTTCAATCCTCTTCTTACTTTCCATTTGGGACACAGTCTCACTAAGCTGCAGAGGAAGCCCTTGGGATCCTGAGCAGTCAGGAACACAGACTGAGGCTGCCGCCAGCACACCAGGCCCTGTATGATTTTTACAGAAAAAAAAAAAAACCTGAATGGAAAAATTTGACAATGGCTAGGCGAGCTGAAGTAAGGTGGGGTGTCTTAGGGTTTCTATTGCTGTGAAGAGACACACCATGACCACGGCAGCTCTTCAAAGGAAAACAGTCAATTGGGGCTGACTTACAGTTTCACAGGTTTAGTCCATTATCCTCAGGGTGGTGTGCAGGCAGACATGGTGCTGGAGAAGGAGCTGAGAGTTCTGTATCTTGATCTGCAGGCAGCAGAGGCAACTGTGTGCCCCACTGAGCATAGTTGGAGCATAGGAGACCTCAAAGCCCGCCCCCACTTCTCCAACAAGGCCACGCCCACTCCAACAAAGCCACACCTCCTCATAGTGCCATTCTCTTTGGGGGGGGGCAGGGGCGGGGGGGGGCTATTTTCTTTCAAACACCCACATGGGGAAATCTACAGGGTTTCCATGTGTCCTTGTCATGGTTTTAG